CTTTGCCTTGTTCCTTTATTTCATGTTACTTAATCGCATGATTATTGTTAATTATTTTACGGTAAATTTGTTTACGTTAATTATTGAATTTATGTTAGTCAACAACAAATTGTAGATATCCTGATATAGTCACGAATTACGATAAAACATATTTTTTTAGGTATTTTCTTTAAATAAAATCAATTTGAACGAAACAACGGTATTTCTCTTGGTACAAATTTGTCACTGCGATCTGAATACACTTTGCTTTTACAAAGTAGGTTCATTCGATTAAGTTTAATGCAAATTAGTATAGATAACCTTATTAGGTTAAGACAGTCGTAAACTTTTTTCGTGTTAATAAGACTTTTTATGCAAAAATCACAATAAAGTAACACTTGACTTGGTCTAAAGAATTCTCCGTCAAATTTATGGTTATCCTAACATACTTTAGAATGAAATATTGTTGCATTTAAAGCGGCAATGATCCTCTATTATGACCTAAATAATAATACACAATACAAAATATTATTTCAAATCTTAATTTCTATCTGTAATAGACATAAAAATAATTACACATTTATAAATCAAATAAAACAAAAATATCCTCTTTGCATAACATTAGACAGATTGCAATAAACGAAAAAAAAATAAGTAGAATGAAAAAAAAACAATTCTCGTAAGTTGTTTAGCAAGTTTTATTACACCTAATTCTTCCATTATCGATTTACTATGACTCATCTTAATGCCCGATGCCACCTAACATAGATTAATAAAAAAACTAATATATTAATAATCCGGTTTTACAACGTCGTTAACATTTCCGGTCAAAAATAATCGGATGTTCTAATGCGCTTCTTGAAAAAAGTCATTTTTCTTAATATTATTAGCAAAGGATTAAACGATATTATAAAAAAATAAGCCAAAGGGAAGGAAATAGATAAGGCTTGTTAATTAGCAATTGTACCTTTTCTATAAATTTAATTAGAGTTGTATGAAATGGTAAACATGAAAATATATCCCTACTTTACACATTTTCTTGCTACTTTTACCGTTTACCGTTATATTCTAATTTACTTGTGCTCAATTGTTAATAATTAAGACCTATACAAACTGTCAGTAACTAGACCAGTCTAATTTTTCATTTTGAAATTGACCTGAACTTGTACTTAATTTATGTTATTTATCTTAGTATTTGAAGTCTTGTAACCAAAGACAGTAAAAACATATTGCATTCTTCTCAATATGAAACAAAAAACACAGAAAATAATACGTCTTTGTACAAGTTTTGTCAGTGGTAACCCACGGCTAGTCTAATCTTACTAATATTATAAATGCGAATGTTTAGATGGATGGATGTTTGTTTGAAGGTATCTCCAGAACGGCTTCACGGATCTTGCTGAAATTTGGCATAGATGTAGAACACAGTTTGGAAGAACAAATAGGCTTATTAAGTTTTTTTGCTTAAAATTCGCGCGGACTGAGTCGCGGGCGACAGCTAGTTATTTAATGTATTTATCTAAAACGTCGATAGAGTTATCGCGTAAATCCTTGATAGAGCTAAATGTTTCCAGTAAAGAAAGAATATAAGGCCTCAAGCAAAACAAAACAAACGTGACGTGAGTAAACTATAGGTGAATCATTACTACGTTTATTATAACTTGTATATGTCTAAATGCGAGGTAGTCACTGATTAGGCGATTATTACATTGATAAAGCGACTTCTGGGACCAACTATTTAAATGATAAAGACATCGTAACATTGATTATATCTTTTAAATCTAGAAAAGTCATCGTAATCAAATGATTACGCGGAATTCTCCGTATCCGAAGGCTACCGCTTCAATAGCGGATGGAAACTATCAGATATTTCTGTGTTCATCATTGAAATAGTGATAGGACTATCACGATATTTTTCTAAGAAATCAAAAATCTCTATTCCTTAGGAATATAACATGAACAATTGTTACCTTGATTTCTTAATTGTATTTAAGGAACCAAGATTCTTAATAAAACTATCTGTTTAAAAAAATGTAATTAAAAAAACTTAATTAGTAGTCTATGTTCATCTATGTTAAATTACAGCGAGATCCTTGTAGCAATTTTGGACATACCTTCTAACAAATCCATCCATCTAAACATTCGCATTTATATTAGTAAGTTTAAAACAATTTTTGTATTAATACAAATTAATTCAAATCGATATATTCTATTTAAATGTAAAATAAAACTCAGCTAACAATATTATAATCGGTGATGCGTGTATTATAAAATAACGTATTATGCAAATGTAGTAGGAAGCATCAAAATCCGCCAATGGTGCGTGAAACGAACATTTTGCCAGGGTGTCGATATTTATTCATGGGAAGGAATATTCAATGCAATTAAATAATAATAAATATCTAACATCTGTTTGTTTCGCAGCTTTTAGTTAAAGTTTTATAAACATTTTTATTGTTGCATTAAATTTCTCTTAGGTTAAGTTATAGTGAATAATTTCGCCATTTTTTAAAACAGATTATTTATTTAAGTGTTCATAAAAAGGTTCACTTGTTCATAAAAAGGTCATGTTCAAATCTTAACAAGATATTACTGAATTTATACATGGAATTAAGATAGAGATAGATAGGTTTCTATAAGCTATCTATAAATTAAGCAACATTTATACAATAAAATATTACAAATAATTAACGATAATGCAAAAACTTAACAAGAAATGCTGTTATAAAAAAAAAAGAAATGCTGTAACGTGAACTACAAAATCAAAAGAATTCTCGAAAAGAGGACAAAATGTATTTACAATTCCCGACTTGCATCAGCGAACGTTCGGCGAGACATTTTGACATTGACCCTGAATACACTTTTCATAGATTTCTATTTTGACTGTTTCCACATAACGCGTATTCATTGTAAGCAACGATCAACACATTTCCATATTTATTCGAATAACTGTTACTAGTACTATAACGATTTCAAACGATATTTTAAAAAAAATAATCTCCCCTTTTAAACGTCAACTTTTTTTTATAACAGAAGGGGGCAAACGAGCAGCGGGAACACCAAGGTGTTCAACGACGCCCATGGACATCAGCAATACCAGAGGAACCGCAGATGCGTTGCCGGCCTTTACTTTTATATGGATACTAGCGGTCGTCCGCGATTCCGTTCGGGCGGAAAAAATATAATAAGCAGTCTCTTTATTCTTCCAGACTATGGTCTACATCTCTAAAGTCGTTCCGGAGATATGTTCAAACATACATGCATCCATCCATCCATAGTAAGATATCTTAAAGCTTGAAATAAATATGTAAAATATTTTTATGACTACATAAATCAATAAATTTGGGCGAAAATAGGTACCAAATAAGGTAGTAACTACGCGTGGGATGAAGACGAAAAAATAACACCTTAATAGGCAATAACAACCAAAAAATTTTTATACCATTTAAAAATAAAATGGAATAATTTTGCAAAAACGGAACAAAATTTTTGTTAATCTGAAAAATAAAAGTTAAGTAACATTTATACTATAAATTTACATTTTCGATCCAATTTTATTAATTTTGTCCTTACACATTCGTATAATTTCCTATCAATATAAAATAACGGTTTTAATAATTCAAAATACTCGTATATTATTCGCATATTTTTACATTTTTTACAAGCATTGCGTGTAAACAGGATTAGTTCCACTCGTATGTAAATTCGATATGATACAGTATGTTGTGCTGGGAATCTGCGTCAATACTTTAAAATCAAAAGTCACGCGATCGCGATTGCAACAGACAGACGTTTCCGACATTCATCAATATAACCCAACATCAAATACACGTATTCACACGAAGGTAGAATAGTAAGAAAATAAAATGTTAGTTCACACAATAACGAGGTACTACTGCTGAGGTCTTATATGCAGCCTTGGTGTGAAAATAGCTAAGTGTCTACATGGCAACATTGACACGTACTCGAAACTTACTGGTAGATCAAATGTTTACGGCAAATAATGTTTACGTTTTCCACGTAAGCCACGTGGTCCTATATGAGTCATTAATCTGTTTACCTCTGACAACACATTCGGTATCATATTATATGATGATAAGAGCATACTTGCTTTATATATCAGATTATCTTTTTACATTTCTTCTTCTTCATCTTACTTCTTGCTAATATCTTAACTTCTTAGTTATCTTACTTCTTTCGATCTTACTTCTAAGTGAGATTACTAATGTTATAAATTCATTTTCTCCTATAAAAAATGCGAAAGTTTAGATGGATAGATGGATGGATGTTTGTTTGAAGGTATCTCCGGAACGACTGAACGGATCTCGCTGAAATTTGGCATAGATGTAGAGCATAGTTTGGAAGAACAAATAGGATCCTTAATAGATTTTTTAAATTCTAGTTATTTATTACGCTATAGGCGATAGCTAGTAATTTATGAGGAAGAAATAATAGTTATTGTATATTTCTTAAACTATTATCTTCGTAGAATGGTACCATGTGACGATGGTATCATGACATAATCCTGCGCCTCGCAGAAATGATAAGCTGATAACGAAGAATAATTAAGACAGATAACGTGTACATGTAAGATAACATGTAACCTGTTGTTACGCTTAAGGTCTTTTATAACTGGTAAAACCCACGTTGTTATTTTAAAAGCTCTAAACTTTTAGTTTAAAATGTTCGAATAGAAGACACATTTGCTGTTATAAAAGAAAATACTGATTACAGATATACGTGAGATGTTTGTCTATAAATAATATTACCGTAAGAATATAATAAGAAAGACAAATCATTTTATATTTTTGACTTCCTTAGATGCTTTCGTTTTCTAATGACTTTAGTAAATTATTAATATACAGATTTATTGATACCTTAAGTCATATCATTGCAAATTATTTAAAACTGATAAACTTTAATAAGACCGCACGCGTGCTAAAAGTAAACGAACATTCGTGTAAGAGAACGGTTGTAGCAAGGAGAGCGGGGTGCCGCGTGTTGTATAGAAACAGTCTTACCGATGTTAGCGTAGTACCCGGCGGGGTGCATCGTGCGAACTGATCACCGCTGGAAACTTTCCATTTGACACTTACCTAAAACGTAAACAGAACACGTGTTATAATAAAGAGGTAAAGCCTTCGACCATTGCACAAGATGGAGATATAAAAAGTCTAAGAGGCTAATATTTTGCCGAATGGAAGTTAGGTAAATCATGTTCATAGAATCAAAATAGTTAAAAAAATTAAAATAACTTCAAAGTTTAAGTAACAACAATTTTGCTTAGTCCAACACCAACTTATCGTGTTTTTATTACAAAGGAAATAATGTAATATAAAAATTTTATTGCACTATCATTCGAATATTAAAATTGAAATGAGGATTTCATAAAAATAATTTCAAAGTCAAAGTTGTATTTGTTTAATAAAGATCCCAATAAAAGATAAAGTCATAAAACGGAACTCGACTTTATATCATGCAAGTGGACGTGTAAAAGATCTTTCGAGACGCGCACGCGAATCAGAAATTAGCAACAAAACGTATTCGCTGTGTTTTTGCAATGTATTTTCTGTTTGGTCGAACTTTAGAAAAAAAAAAGTTTTTTTCCTGTCGCATGACTAGAGCATTGCCAACATTAGCTGATTCCAAAAGCTTGTATACGATTCATGATTCACGCAAAATTTTAGAACTTTTTAAACGAAAGTAATATATTTTCTTTTTATCATAAAGTCCTATTACTTAGGGTTATATATTTTATGTTTTTTCGCAAGTATTGTAATTTTTTTTTGTCAAGAGGTTGGTAAACGAAATACCATTTTTTCACCAAGATACTAAATGCCCTTCTGCTCTTAATGCAACAAATTTCAAAACCAGTAAACTACTTTCAGTTAAAGTGTCCTTAAAATTACTTTCACAGAAAATTTTCCATTCAGTTTAATTATAACTTAATTTTCGTGCATGTCAAAACAACATTAAGCAATATTTAAAGCTATCGTAATTTACATTTATTTTATTTTTATTGCTATATGACACTTAAATCTGTAGTCTTCGAGAGCTTAAAAATATCGACCAATGGCTAAAAAATTGAGGCCACACTATACCCCACCAGCTAATGTAAAACCTCAAATGATAAAAATAAAATCGCTATTACAATAGTAAAAAGCTACAGAAGCTCAATAATGAGTAGATTCATGTAAAAATGTTATCCCAATACACTTAATCGAATTGATTGAAAACGAAAAGCATTTGAATATTCCCGCGACATTCAATTTGGGCGGAGTGCATTACTGGATGGCGGATGGTATTGCATACGTCCATTGTGCATGGAATATTCGGCATAGGGGCTGAATGCGAGTCGAGGCGAGGCAGACCAGGCGAGGCAGTCGAGGCGAGGCATGTCCCGGCAGAGGCATGCGGACACACGTGGCTCGCACGGCAGCCTGCACGGAATCTGACCGAATGCCCATCGGGGCCCGATTGTTAGCTAAATAGCGATGGCTTATTTATGAGATTCTCCCGCTTGCGGCGACGATTCCAACAGCCGAGAATAAGCTCGTGGTATTTTCAACTGTACGCAAATTGATTTGTTAATACATTTACATTTGATACTTAGATTTTGTTTTAGTTTCACCATAAATGTAATTACGTTAAAAATTACTAAATTATTAATGTGTATAGCAATTGCAAGAGCAAAATGAAATGAAGAAAAAAAATAGAAATAAAACATTACATTTTAACATGATAATCATTCAAAAAGAAAAATTGCTAAACATACAGATCATCGTCTCCTATTATATGTTACTTAAGAACACATATGTGTTTAACTTTAGCAATAACGTTGCTTTATACTATTCTAATGTCTTAATCCTGTCAACAAAACAGTCCAAGGAAAGATAATCCTCATAAACAGGCGATTACCAGCTTCATAACGCAACTGTTGCGTTGATTTGAAAACCTCTAAACACATAAAACCATTGACTACACTAGTCGCAGTGTATTTGACATACAATTTATTGTCTAAGCTTATTGCATTGAATAAGCGAAATCCGAGGACAGATGTGTGTTACAATAAAAGTAAACTTTCTAATGTACGAATAAGTTTAATGTTCTTTTTCACTTTCGTTGTCACGAGCACTTAAATAAATATTATAATTTCTGTTTTAATATGCTCTAATATGTTTATTTACCGTTGTGTTTTTATCATGTATAGTCTTTAAAACCCATTAACAAAGCATAGATAAAACACCTAACTTTAGAAATTTAGTTTTAATAGGTATTCGTAAGTCAATAAGAACTATCATTTTAATCAAATCGAAGAAGTAAAGCAAGTAAGAACAAAGGCAAGTTCTAGCAAAGTTGAGTAAAACCATATCAATAGTATCAAACAATTATCGACCCCACAAGTTATACCATCTACAAATAAAAAGACTTTATACCTAAATCAACACTTTTGTTATCAATACAAATAATAACTATATGTTTTAACATCTATATCAGTCTTTCCCAAAGTGGGCGATAACGCCCCCTTGTGGGAGCTGCAAGTCTCAAGTTGCGGGTTATAGTAAAAGTTTCGTTTAGAATTCTCCGTTAATATACATATATAGGTCACAATAATTAATTAATTTAATTTGAAATTATAGTGGTTTTTAAATATGTGAAAACATGGGGGCAGTAAAAAAATATTTATTCTCAAAGTTGGCAGTAGACAAAATAAGTTTGGGAACCACTGATCTATATGAATGGGATAGTCCAATATAGATGTAACTTAAAGGGTGTAAATCATATTGTAAATTCGTGCCCAAGTATTTTAGGCATGTTACGAACATTGTCTTGGACAAAACACAACACTATCTAAGATAACAAGTATTAACATAATATACGTAATTAAATAGTTTATAATAGGTCAGTCCTCTAACCTATGCGGTAGGCTGTTAGGGTGGCATTAGGCGTTCACTTAAGTCACCTCAAAGCTCAAGTATGTATTCAACACCAAAAAGCGAACATAACTCGGCTTACGATCATTCCATACCAATGTGGTAATTTTTATAAAAGGTATTCAAGAGAAATGTTAATGAAGGTTTAAGTTTGTATATTTATATGCCCTCGTGTTTACGACTCGAAACGATCCGTTCGTCCGTCGACCACGAGACCGGTGTCAGTCAAAAAGCGATCGGAGTGCGAGATATCTTGCATCGGAGCTTCGAATCTTACAGCGTCGCTTTGGGCGACCTTACCGCTTTACTTAACAGTATGCTTTTAACGGCGCCTTATCGTCAAATCAATCCGGAGCAGCGATCGAGAAACAATGGGACATTAATAAAAACGTTACTTTTACTAGAGCAAGCCGTGGAGCGTTCCGTCTCTATGGATTTAGAAATCCGATTGTTGGACAATAAAAATTATTTATTCGCTAAGATCATATTGCACGGACATTATTATTTAACATTTGTAGAATAACCTGAGATCGGTATTAAACCCTGTTTTGTCATATTTCTAATAGATTCACACAGAAAATCTACATTATAAAAATATTAACGTCCTGAAGCAATTGAATTACTTCAACTGAAACTTACTTAAACAAAAAAACTCTTAATTATGTACCCTAATCGTTTAAAGAAAATTTCTCATTCGTTACTCTTTTCATAAATCATGCGTTATATAAAAATTTATATACACATTATAAAGTTTACATAGAGACCTCGAGACAAGTTAGTTTTTCTTACAACAATAAATAAAACATAATCGATGAAACGGTATGTAGCAACATTTATTATAGTTATTGTTTAGATTCCGACACACACAATGCCTATTAATGCGTTTCCTGTTTTAATGCGAAGAATTAAATAAATAGAAACAAAAAGAATGTTTTTCTCGTAGTTAAATGTTATAATTAAGTCAATATGTAGTTGTAGATAAATCAATAAGGACAGTTTCGCACAGACAACTTTAATCGCGTCGTCGCCAAATCAAGATTGGTTTCGGACTTGACTACCTTAGATTTTAAAAAATACTATATTTTTTTTAAAGTACGCCAGACTTGAACCTGGCTTTCAACAATATTGAATGGATAGAATTTCCTGGTTTAGGAATTAAATCACAAAGACAAGCAACCTTTTGAGTCCCATACAGAATAATTACTATTTTTTTTAACTAAAAAGTTGTTATACTTATACTAACGTATGTAAAATAAATAAAGAACGTTGATTTGAGGTATTTAATCGTAAACTTACAAATTTATTTTAATTACGATCAAATGGTTCTTTATTAAGATAATACAAAAACCAACAAAAGTGATTTCAAATGCGGCACCAATTAAATAAGAATAATGGATCGTTGAGCAGGGCTGCGGGGGACGGGGAGCGGGAGGAGTGTTGGAGGCTTCGGACGCGTCACTAGATGAAAAAGCACGAACCGAAGTCCGATGAAAGGTATGCGAGGAATGGAAGGGAGCATCCGGCGGCGGCGATTGTTGCCAGTTATCACTGAATGTTTTCCCCGGGTGTATTTTGTGCCGCCACAAAAAAAACAACATAAAGGGCGGGCGCGGCGCGTTTGAGACACCGCCCCTGTGGGAAAATCGTCGCCAGAAAACTGCGACGCGAATAAATTATAAGCCCTCTCACGTGGAACGCAGCGCATGCCTGTGTTTATAATGGAAAGCGTGGACCGGCAACGGGTCGTATAAGCAAAAATTATCCGATTCGTGTTAGCGGTCATTATATCCTTGTTGAGTTCAAATCGATGAATGTGATAAAACTGAATACAAGCTCGATTGTTTTGAATCGAAGTGTTTCAGAAAAACTAAAAACATTGCGAAGATATATTTATGGTTGACCAAGTTGGTTTTAATTTTTTATTTAGTGCACAGTTATAAGCTGCTTTTGTTTTTAACTCATAACACACTACTTACATTATCTTATCTTTTTATTGTATCGATTTTATAAAGTGTATAACCAATTTTATAATTTATCGGAAGAGCTTAAACCTGTTTGGTGAAGTTTACTTTGATATCTAAATACAAATATGTCAGGCGAACTGCGTAATGTCGCTCTATCTCACGATGGGCAATCATTAGCGAAAACGTACCGGCCCGGAA